ATTGTACACTAGAAGCCTATGTAACTTGACTAACCCCAATGATGGTGCCAAGTTGGGCCAGTGAAGCAACGTCCTCCACAACTAGACTGAAGAACAAAAAGACAGCAACTTGTCTGTTCCCCTTCCCCGATTCACCAGCACTGTTCCCATCCCCCCAATTCCCCAATAAAAATCTTAAACAAAAAAAGAAAAGAAAAGCGCATGCTCTATCCACTGAGCCATCCAGGTGGCAGCTCAGCTCAAGGTGCCGAGTTCAGTCTTAGTTGCAGGCGGGCATAGCCCACCATTGAACAGGCAATCTTGTTACACCAGCTGAGCCATCTTGCCACCTGTTGACAGCTCAGCGATAGCTGAGCTTGGGCGCAGCATCACTGGCCCATGTGGGAATCGAACCGGTGACTCGGTTGCTCAGAGCTCATGCTCTTAAGCCAACTCTTAACCAACTGAGCCACTCGGCCAGCCCAAACATAAACAATTCTTTATATTGCTCATGGACAAATATGTTGTGGAAATATTACCACATAGCCTAGAACTGAGACCAATTTTAGAATTGCAATTCTGGATGGGGGAGAAGGGAGAATTGGGCTGGGGAGGGTTAAAGAGGGCTTTTAACTATATGTGTGATCTTTTTTCCCTTTAAAAATAATCTGAAACTAAATATGGAAAATACAAACATGTTAAATCTGGCTTTAGGGGTGTTAATTTATCGTTTTCTGAAGGGCACTGATGCCCATTTCTCCTCCTGGAGGAGAACCTTGTACTTGACTGTCCTTAACAGCTTTTCCAGGCTGTGCCTCCTGGGAATTGCAGAGACTCCAGGCTGTGCCACCCTGCTCCCGGCGTCACTGTTCGTCAATAGTCATCCAGGTACCAGGCCCTTTTCCTTTTGGTAAGGGGCGCTCTGACAGAGGTCCCTGTCCTCTGCCTCCCAGGAGCTGCAGCCAGCAGTGTAAGCTCTGTGGTGAAGGCTTGGATAGGAGGGTTGGGAAGCAGAGGCTTGGTGAGCCCACGTCACAGCTCATGGCGGGGATAGGCTGCAGAAGCATCTGGGGGAGATTCCTTAAATCTGACACAGGATTTGTACTAGAAGCATGTGCATCTTTACATATTTCCTCCTTTTGGGTCATTTCAGCAGCCAAAACAGTTAAAAGTGTATGTATCCAATGCAAGAGATCAAAACACTTATTTGGTCTGCCTGTACAGATCACTCACAAAGGTGTGACCGGTGCTGTCGGGGATACCGACATTCTCTCTGGCTGAAGGCAGTGCAGAATTCTGGACTTCTCCCTGGCAGCATTCTGGGTATTAAGTTTCCAGTCTTTCAAGAATTAGGATCAACCAGACAAGGGTCAGGCCTCTAAGAGTGCAGGCCTCAGACAGACCTGGCATGAATCCCAACTTGAACAGATAGCTTAAGCTCTCTAAAGTGAAGGTAATACCTACCCCGTTGGGTTACATGGTGGATTAAATGAGGTCATGCACCCTTAGCCTTATGCCTGGCATTTCATCATACAGCAGCTTATGAGGCAGGAATATGTAGTATCACCAATTTACAGATGAGGAAATAGACAAAGAGAAGTTCAGAATTAGCCTTACAAAACTAATCTGTGGTGTTAGAAGTCAGGAGAGTGGTTCCCTTTGGGGAGAAGTGGGGAGGTAGCAATTGGGAGGATACTGGAAGGTTCTGTTTCTTAACCTGGGTGGTAGTTATATGGCTAGATTTGTGATAACTCATTAAACTATACTTATAATTTGTGCCCCTATGTGTGTTTTATCAATAAAGTTTATTTTTAAAAATGTTTTGCTTGAGATTACACAGCTAATAGTGTGATCTGGAATTGAAAGCCTCTTATCTGCCTGTAACTCCATACTGCCTCCCTGATAGCTATTAGTATTCTTAACACTTCTACTGGGACATCAGGAAAGATTCATACATTTACTCTCAGAATAACCACTATTGAACCAGGCACCCCAGCTGAGTGTCCCTTTTTTTTGCTAACACAAAACCCAGAATGGGGCCAAGGTATACAAGGTCTGACAATTAAGTTCGAGAACTCATTCTAGAAAAAGTGTTGCCTGCATACCTCGTTGTTGAATATCACTACCGTCACCTTCGAAGTACTCCCCTTGGGAAGCTAGGCACCAATGCCAGGGCCTAGTCCACCCTTCAAAGCAATTTTGGCACTCTTTTTCTGGAATGGCCATCAGAGCTGTCATCATATTACCCCTGATGTCCTGAATGTCATCAAGATGTCTTCCTTTCAATATTTCCTTTATCTTCTGGTAAAGAAAGAAGTCATTGGGGACCAAATCAGGTGAGTAGGGAGGGTGTTCCAATACAGTTATTTGTTTACTGGCTAAAAACTCCCTCACAGACAGTGCCGTGTGAGCTGGTGCATTGTCGTGATGCAAGAGCCATGAATTGTTGGTGAAAAGTTCAGGTCGTCTAACTTTTTCATGCAGCCTTTTCAGCATTTCCAAATAGTAAACTTGATTAACTGCTTGTCCAGTTGGTACAAACTCATAATGTATAATCCCTCTGATATCAAAAAAGGTTAGCAACATCGTTGCAACAAGTTCGCGAACTTAATTGTCTGACCTCATAGACCCCTCTGAGCAGCTATTCCTGGAGGATTCCCAGATCTGGTGCTCACTGGCCTGGCAGCATGAAGGGAAGGTCTCTGTTCCCAGAGGACAGCCATGCTTTATTAAATTCACTATTCCTCAGCAGGAGACCGACCTGGCATGCTCTGCAGTTTCCGGATCCCCGGGGCCTGGTGTTGTGCGTGGTCCTTGAACATCCAGGCAAATGACTGCTTCAGTACAGGTGAGCCACGGCTGCCACCCCAGGTCCCCAAAGTAAGGGATTGATCAGACCTCAAATACCCCCTGCCCAGCAGTCCCTCTCCCTGGACTGGAAGTGACACTTCTCTGTCCACCCCATCTCTGTCTCTTATTAGGCTTGTCTCGGTGGGTCCTGGTGACCAACGTGGTGACAGGACACCGGCTGTCATTTGGGACCAGCAGTGATGTCTTGGCCCAGCGGTTTGCTGTCATGGTTGGTTGGATTGGGAAGGACGTGATACAAAGTTCCCCAGGAGTAGAAATCTTGCTGGACTGACATTGGATTCCATTGTGGCATTTAGTCCTCCCATTTTTACCGGGGAAAAAGAGGGCATCGGAACGATTAACGAACGGGTTACTTGGTGAATATGTCTGCACTGAGTGGAAGTTGGCTGACCCAGAAAGGCCTAACTAAACTAGCTTGAAACAACTTCCTATTCAAATGAATTGTTAGCAATTCTTGAGTAGTGCTTGGATTAGCCAGTAGGACATGTAAGTTGTTTTTTGGTGGTTTTTTAAAAGATTTTATTGGGGAATCGGGGAAGGGGAACAGACAAGTTGCTGTCCTTTTGTTCTTCAGTCTAGTTGTGGAGGACGTCGCTTCACTGGCCCATGTTGGTATTATCATTGTGCTCTTCCTGGGTGAGGTAGATCGGTTGCCGGCCATTGGTCAGCCGCTCATGGTGGCTCTTGGCCACTCACGCTGGCTGCCGGCCGCTCGCTGTAGCTTATGGCAGCCCATTGCAGCTTCACTGCAGCCTACGCCATCACCGGCGATTCGCGGCAGCCCAGCTCCAGGTCCAGCTGTTGTTCAGCATCTTAGCTGTAGAGGGCGCAGTGTCACTGTCCCTCATGTGGGATCCGAACCAGGGCCCTGCAGCTCAGAGCTGGCGTCCCAAGCCAACTCTTACCCAATGCACCACTTGGCCAGCCTGGACATGTAATTTTTTTAATGTATAAATTAAGTCCCAATTCATAGCACTAAATATTTTCATACACAGCTTTCAAATTACATGTTTTATAAATTTAAAAATCAAAATTACATTTCAAAGACTTGCTCACAGAAAATGCCATCTCTTTAAAAATATCAAAGTGTGTCGACCTGCTTCCACCAGTAAGCACAGAGTTTCATTAATTCAGGTTTCTTCAGCCATCCTCCCTATTTGGGGCCCCATGTCTCACTTGGACCTCTGATCTCTCCTCTATACTCATTCCAGTTCTTCTCCCCTTTCATAAAACCTTCCAACTCTACTGAGGCTCAAACCCTGACCAACCCATCTCCACCCACACCTCTAGCTCCGGGGCTGGGATGGGGGAGGAGAGGCAGGGGTTGTGTTCTGGAGGGTGCACCCCTCCCAGCCTGAGAGGAAGGTACTAAGCAATCCCTCTTTCCATAGAGTCCTTTGCTATTTAATGGCTGTCGGTCCGGGGAGATCTTTGCCATTGATCTGCGTTGTCGGAATCAGGGCAAGGGCTGGAAGGCCACCCGCCTGTTCCACGACTCGGCAGTGACGTCTGTGCAAACCCTCCAAGAAGAGCAATGCCTGATGGCCTCTGACATGGCTGGAACGGTAGGGTAGCACTGACTTTCTCAAGCCACTGGAGCTGGTGGCCCAGAGGTCTGACAGGTGGAGGGGCTTATTTGGGGGAGGGGCTCTGCGGAAGAGACCCTCATGCCAGCCAGCTGCAGGGAAAGGCAGCTGGAGAGCAGGCGAGCTATATGCTGTGCGGAGCACCTGCCCACTGGGAGCCCAGTCTGGTCTAGACAGACGTAAAACTGGTTCTGCCTTTGGATGGGCTGTAGGGCTCAGGCGTTGGAGACTTAGGTTTTCCTAACTTGAAGAGATCTCTGGAGACCACCTCACGCTCCCTGGCTTCCATGCCAGGTTCACCAGGGTACCTGCTGGGCCCTCCTTAATGGCCCTTTGTGCCTCTTCCCACAGATCAAGCTGTGGGACCTGAGGACCACTAAGTGTATAAGGCAGTACGAAGGTCATGTGAACGAGTACGCCCACCTGCCGTTGCACGTGCACGAGGAAGAAGGAATCATGGTGGCAGGTACCTGGGGAAGAGGCGGTTCCATCCATCAAATACCATCCCTTAGGGCCCCCAGCGTCTTCAGCAGAAGGAGAAATTACTCGAAAACAGAACTGAATGAAGGGATCGTGGACTGTTGGGGTTTGGGAGCCAAATGGGACGCAGAGTTGGACATTAGTAAGCAGTTTAAACATCCACTAGGTGGAGAGCCCTTTGTTCTCATACCAGTGGGCAAACATCTCTTCAGTAACAGGCAAGTTAGGTGCAGTAAAACACAGAAGGTTTAAGTCTATTCACCAGGTCAGCATCCAGTGGGACTTTATCCCTCCAAGCAACTGTCCTGTCGACAAGCCTGGCCTCCCTTTCCCTTGTCCTCACATTTCCCCCAGGGGCTGCTGAGAAAAGAAATCTGGGTCATTGTGAGGGAGCTGATTCTTGGTCCCCTACCCCATTCTGTGGTTCCATGATCCACAAAATAGGAGCAGAGCCTATCTAGCTACTAAACCCCCTTGAAAGAAGTTACAAGATTATACTGTTTCTGGGCTATCGAATATTCTGACAGGGTGAAAGTTTGGTGGTTTGACAGATGAAATAGTAGGTCCTTAACACGAAAGACTATGAGATCCCCAAATTTGCTAATATTCCTACAGAAAGTACTTATTCCCCATGAGAGCTTCTTGTGGCTAAGAAGGATCACTTTGTTAGAACTTTCTTAGGCTTATTTACTAGTCTCACCACCAGCAGCAGTTGGCTTCCTTTTTAAGTCTTTTTTTTTTTTTTTTTAGCTGAGCCATCCTGCCACCTGTTGGCAGCTCAGCAGCTGCTCAGCTCGGGCGGGGCATCGAACTGCTGTTGCTCAGAGCTCAAACTCTTAAGCGAGCTCTTAACCAACTGAGCCACTCGGCCGGCCCTTTTAAGTCTCTTTTTCACAAGTTTTCAGCTCAGACAAGTTTTTGTGTTCTGGATAACAGAAAGAGAACCCTGTCGAAAGGCAGATGTGTGAAGTGGGCTAGCTGTGGTAATCAGTGACCTGTGCTACCTGAATTCATGCCCAGCCAAGGTAGCACCTGAGGTCGTAGTCACTGGAGGGGTCAGAGGCACAAACATGAAATCCGTGACCGCCTGAGGTCTGCCCTCCTCTTTCCTCTGAGGATCTGCAGTAGCACATATCATGTCTCTGGGCTACTGTAACCAGTGGTGTTAGGTGTCACATTCCTCACCACTCTGAGCCCTAAGACTATCTGCTCTCATGAGCTGAACCGTTAAGCCAGCAAGAGCTCTGGGGAGAGGTGTCACCTGGTTTGTCCCTAGAATGTAATGATGTTACGAGATCTCCCTGGTTACTATTTCATAAAGGAAACCAGCTGCATGTCATCTAGACCAGGTGGGCTGGGTTCCCCCTTGAATAGCCCTTGACACCAAGACATGCAGAATGCTCGCCCATTAGCCAGGATGCCCAGTGAGCCATCCAAGGTGTCGTTCAGCCAGCCAGTGCGTCTTGTCACTTTGAATACATGCAACTAGTTAGGGTTCTAGAGCACCAGGGCGACCCGTAACGTTGATTTTCAAAAGCTACATATTACCGGTAGAAAAAAATTCCATTTGTGAGTTCACATGGATTGAATGATTCACATGCAATCCTGTTCAGTCCTTAGGAGTCATGAGAAGCCACATCCACATGTACACAGATTCTCTGGATTCCCTCACTAACCTGCCACATGTCTTTCCTCTCGTAGTGGGCCAGGACTGCTACACGAGAATTTGGAGCCTCCAGGATGCCCAGCTGCTCAGAACCATACCTTCCCCACACCCCACCTCCAGAACCAGCATTCCCAGTGTGGCCTTCTCCTCTCGGCTCGGAGGCTCCCAGGGAACACCCGGGCTGCTCATGGCCGTCCAGCAGGACCTTTACTGCTTCTCCTACAGCTAATTCTGCAGGGTGCGGCCTGGAGAGAGGTGGATTTGACTTAAGGGAGTAAAGAGTAGTTCTGCCATACTTGGCTGTTTCCGATGAGGGCTTTTTAAATGGATGCTCTGTGTGCACAGATCCCATCCACCCAGCTGCTGGGGACAAGGTGCTATGTTTTATGTGGAGACACTTTAGTAAAGTTATTTAAGTGAAGTTGATGGCTCAGAGAGCTTAAAAGTCCTTTTCATAAAAGGTATCTATTTCCTTTTATTGAATTCCTTAGACTAGTTCCTTCCCCCTTTTTAAACAAAAAAATACTTTTTCTAAGGGCTGAAGATCTGCAACAGCTAAGTTAACGCTTCTTTCACCAGAAGCCCTTTCTAAAGAGGCCTGACGAGACGGTGGGGGTAGTCTGTGCCTGGCTCCCAGAAAGACACGTATTAGTACTTGAGAAAGCCCGCTGGAGAGAAGAGGAAGAGGGAAGTCATTTCTAGAGAAAGATTTAAGGCTGGAGTTCGGAATCCTCACACTAGCCTTCCCCCACTATCAGCAGCAGATCTCTGCGATGCTCCTGTTAATATCATCCATAGGCACTGGAAGGAAAGATGGGTTTTCTAAGATGCTAGAGGCTTTAAACAGGCCTTCGCATGCCTTTGTAGAGGCACCTTCCAGAATGTTAGGAACAGCAGCTCCTGTTTGTAGAAATGGTGGTAACCTGAACGTCAGATTGAAGGGTCCCGTCGCAAAGAAAATTGGCTTTGACTTTTTATAACCTAGGAAAAAAAGTTTGTAAGATGTTTATACAAAGTGTTCAAGAGCTTGTCTTTCTACCAAACAATAAAGTGGAAAAAACTATGACATGGCGCGTTGGTTTGCATGATTTAGGTCATGATGCTTGGCTGCTGTAGCAAGAAAGCAGCTGCAATTATGTCTACTTGGGACTTTTGGGAGAGGAAAAGGGAAGGGCAGAGACCCAGACTGGCTTGAATGGCTTTGCTGGGCCACTTCCGTTTGCCCCTTCATACCCACCTGTGCCCCCGTCACCTACTCTGTGTTCCCTAAGAGGCTGGCTTCTATGGGCTACCGTAGTGGCTCCCCAGCCCTGGCAGGGTCAGCCAGTGGGACATACCAGCAAGAAAGCCAAGGACAGGAATGTGCGGTGGGAATGTAGGTCCCTGGCTCCCCTCCTGCCGGGCTGCAGGGGCTGTGGCTATGTTCCTGCCAAGGCCAGGGCTTCTGTTGGAACTCAGCTCTCTCTGGGATCCAGTAACTTCTCTCCTTCTGTTCCTTCAGACCTCTAGCTGGTAAACTGCACCTCACTGTTGCTAGCCCAGGATGCTTCACCAGTTAAACCCTTCAGTTATAACCTTGAGTGTTACATCTATTTCCTGGCAGAACTTGGACTAATACAGCTTAATGTACAGAGAACCAAATTAAAAAAAAAGAATGATTGGTCATCTGATAAATGAGCTATATAATAATTTTAGTGCCTCATTTATAAAGAACTTTCCCCCATCTTACCTTATTTGATCTTTATAACAGCCCATAAAGGAGGTAGGACAGTAGTAATATAAAAATTA